GGTTCCAGGTGATTCCGGAACCTGAAACAGAGGATTTTCCCCAGCCCCCCCCCCCCACACACACACACACAACACACCACACACACACACACACACACACACACACACACACACACACACACACACACACACACACACACACACACACACACACACACACACACACACGCACACACACACACACACACACACGCACACACACACACACACACACACACGCACACACACACAAACCCTCGAACGCCAGAGCGGTGCATGTCAAGTGGCGACCTTTAACAATCAGCCACTTCGCACTAAGAAGAGATGGGGAGCTCGAGATCGGCGCTGCACTGCTCGACAGCAGCTCTTGCAATCCCAACTTGGAGAAGAGGGCGTCCTGATTGCGGGGGCGCAGGAGGAGGGGGGGGGGTAGCAGAGGAACAAGGAGGCAATGTAATGTTGTGGTGTGCGCTGCTGGACGCGATCAATACAATGACGGAGTTGAACGCTGGATCAGCCCTGCGACCCCCTATGCCAACCAGGGAGGGTGGGGTGGGGATCCTATGGCGCTGAGACCACAGGGTGTTCAGCTTGTCCACATGCACCCCCGCATCCTCATTGCGACGATCAAGGCGCCTGCCCTCCCCCTCATTGTCTTAGTGGCCCACGCCCCGCATGCTGGAACTCCCCGCGCTGAGCGGTCTATTTTTTCTTGGCAGGAGCTGGAGAGCGGAGAGCCTCGCTCGCAAGTGGGAGCCTGACACCATTTGCACCGATGCGAACGGCAAAGTCGGATTTCCCATTAAAGCCGTTGATGCTGCTTGACCTGCCAAGCCACAAGATGGCAATGGACAGCAGCCGCGTGATATTCTGCGCAGCGCCCACGCGGTGGCGGCTGATACGATGAAATGTAAAAGGGGCGGGTGCACCTACACATATAAGAAGGGATCTCATCGCAGGATTGACTTCCTCCTTGTAAAATAAAGAATACCCTGTGGCCCCTTTGGACACTTGGGCCACGCGTGACTTCGAGCACCTTAGGGAGCGCGAGGATCACGACCCCCTCGTGGCCGAGCTCAAATGGAAGCAGAACCCTTGCAGACAGAAGGAGTTCGCTTCGAGGATTGATCGTCCAAGAGTTGAGGACCCCGAGGCGCAATGCAGCGTCCACAGGCAACTGGCTCAAGCCGGGCCCTCTCGTTGGGACAAAGGCATCCATGGCCACTGGAAGGAAATCCAAGAAGCCATTCACGGAGCTGCGGTGAAAGCCCTCGGGAAACAAGATGTCAGACCCAGAAAGCCGCGCATTCATCCGGCCACCTTTGCCGTGATCCGCGCCCGACGAGCTGTCCGCAAGGCGTGATTTGTGGCGAGCAAGGCTTGTCTCCAGGGCGAGGACTCCAGCTTGGGCCCGTGCCCGGGTGGGCCCCGAATGCACGGCGCTGCTCTCGTTGGCCGTTTTTTCTATCTCGCCATCAACGCCAGTAAAGGGGGATTATTCACTTTGCCCGGGCTCAGTTACAAGTGTCACCACCATGGACAGCAAGCCCCCCTGTGGGAAATTGTGGCCCCCTTCACCAAACAGTGCAATGTGATTGTTGAAAGGCACATTGATGTCCATGGGTTTCGCCTGGCGCTGATTCCAGGTTTGGGCAGATGTGCCTCTGCGCCCCAAGAGCCGCTCGATCGCGACTACACAATGCTGTTACTTCGCCATGATAATCGGGCGAGGCGATTGATTGATGGACGCACCCCAAGGAAAGAATGGCAGCATTTCCGTACTTTGCTGAGGTGTGGGGTGGGGTGGGGGCGCGGTGGTGGGGCGGGGCGGGGGCGGGGTGGGGGAGGGGGGGGGGGGGGGGGGGCGACGTCGGACCCCCGTGGCCACCCCAGTGAGAACGGACCCCCAGGGACAAGTTCCTGCTATTCCCCTAGGGGATGCTAGAGACATGCAAGGGCATTTTGCCAACATCGAAAGGGGGAAAAGTTGTCGATAGGGCTAGGGCGGCCCTGAAGTACTGCCAGGCTTCCGTCGAGTTACCTGCTGCTGGCCCCCCCCCCCCCCCCCCCCCCCCCCCCCCCTGCCAGGCTGAAAACGCCGCTACTTGACGCAAAGTTGCTCATCCGCAACACTTCGAGGGGCGGGCCCCAGGACCTGGTGGAATCACCAACGATATCCTTAGAGCGGCTCCCAGAGAGGCGGCTCGACGTATTCACCCATTGTTTGTCAAGATGAGTTTGATGGCCCACGGGTCTCACGGGCTTCGACTTGGTGAAGTTGTTTCGCTGTATGAAGGAAAAAGAGACGAGGCCATGGCGACTTCACAGCGTAGTGCGTTGCTGTGCAATGCCAGTTTGAAGCTCCACCGTCAGTTCATGCGATCGAGGGCCAAAGAATTGGGCGCCCGAGTTATCCGGGGTAACTCGGGCCCGGGGTAACTCGGGTTTGGATTCCCGAAAAAGGAGCCCGAGTTAGCCCTGACCCGAGTTACCCCTGATGATTCGGGGCTCTGGACGCCCGAGTTATCCGGGGTAACTCGGGCCCGGGGTAACTCGGGTTTGGATTCCCGAGAAACGAACCCGAGTTAGCCCTGACCCGAGTTACCCCTGATGATTCGGGGCTCTGAAAGAACTGTTGTACCTCTTGCTTTGTCAGGAGCAGATGGGAGGCGGACCTGGGCGAGGGGCGGACTTCGCCCGCCCGTTTACCCGTTGCCGCCTGCAGGAGCTGGCGCCCAAAAAAGAACAGACCGCCATCATTGTTTGCTTGGACTTGGCTGCGGCGCTGTACTCTATTTCGCGCCAGCTCACCCTGTCTCTCCCCCAGAAGGAGGAGCAGCTTAAGGATGCGATCGCGGCTCCCCCCCTCTCCCTGATTTGACATAACACTGCGCCCCAACCTGCCGAGGCGCCTATTTTAGACAAAGAGCTGGAAGACCAACACTTACTCGCGCTCATTCGGAGCACGCAAGCAGGCAGTTGGTGGCAGTATAAAAGGGGCCGAGAAGTTCGTCCTTCTTCTTTTGGGTCTAAAACGGAATCGGCGCTTGCGCGCGACATGTTCATCCTTGTGTTTGCCCCCATTGTCAGAGGCATCCATCATGATATGGCCTGGGGAAGGCGCCTGGCCCCGATCCCGTCGACGGAAGGCCCATTCGCTCCTGCCGCGCAGACACTGGAGGAGCCCGACGCAGCCACTGCCCACGTCGACGACCTCGCGCCCATAGCGTCTTGTGAAGATGCCAGCCTGGCCACCGTCATTGGAGACCATATGTTAGACGTTGTGCATGAAAATGTGCCCAATCAAGGTTTGCAACTCAATGGTAATCCGCCGACCCTGTCGGCGTGTGTGAGGGGCTTTTCCGTTCGAGCCGTCATCTCCGTCATTCTTTGTACTCGTCGTCTCTGTTCTTCCCTTTCCCTGGGAGACCTCTTCCCCTGGGCTCCAGCCAAGCCGACCTTGAGCAACCTCGTAATTGAGTCGAAGGGAAGCCCCTTCCCTTTGATCCCTCCCCCGCCGGGAGGGGGGGGGGGGTCGACCCCCCCCGGGTCAGACGCGACGCCCCCCTGGGACTCCTCTTCCCCTGGGCTCCAGCCAAGCCGACCTTGAGCAACCTCGTAATTGAGTCGAAGGGAAGCCCCTTCCCTTTGATCCCTCCCCCGCCGGGAGGGGGGGGGGGGGGGTCGACCCCCCCCCCGGGTCAGATACGACGCCCCCCCCTGGGACTCCTCTTCCCCTGGGCTCCAGCCAAGCCGACCTTGAGCAACCTCGTAATTGAGTCGAAGGGAAGCCCCTTCCCTTTGATCCCTCCCCCGCCGGGAGGGGGGGGGGGGCGTCGACCCCCCCCCCGGGTCAGATACGACGCCCCCCCCTGGGACTCCTCTTCCCCTGGGCTCCAGCCAAGCCGACCTTGAGCAACCTCGTAATTGAGTCGAAGGGAAGCCCCTTCCCTTTGATCCCTCCCCCGCCGGGAGGGGGGGGGGGGGTGTCGACCCCCCCCCCGGGTCAGATACGACGCCCCCCCCTGGGACTCCTCTTCCCCTGGGCTCCAGCCAAGCCGACCTTGAGAAACCTCGTAATTGAGTCGAAGGGAAGCCCCTTCCCTTTGATCCCTCCCCCGCCGGGAGGGGGGGGGGGGTGTCGACCCCCCCCCCGGGTCAGATGCGACGCCCCCCCCTGGGACTCCTCTTCCCCTGGGCTCCAGCCAAGCCGACCTTGAGCAACCTCGTAATTGAGTCGAAGGGAAGCCCCTTCCCTTTGATCCCTCCCCCGCCGGGAGGGGGGGGGGGGTGTCGACCCCCCCCCCGGGTCAGATACGACGCCCCCCCCTGGGACTCCTCTTCCCCTGGGCTCCAGCCAAGCCGACCTTGAGCAACCTCGTAATCTCTTGCTGCGCATTGCGAACAGGGTCGGCGGCACCGGCCGTCAGGCCTTCGCAATAAAACGATGTTCATGGTTTGCCCTTTCTGGAAAAATGCGAGACACACTGAGCAGCACCTGTCCGGCGTTGAAGGGGGTGGCGGAGATCATGTGGTGCCGGAGAAGCATGGCGTGGGAACCACGGCTGTTCACCAACATGAACTCCTTGGGACCACTATTACTGACAAGCTTGCCCAGCATCAACCAGACCTTGCCCAGACCAACGTTGCACCCTGGGGCCACTCATGCAGATGAGAGGGGAAACCCGACCTATTCGCACCGCTTTAGCGCCCAGGCAACGGCATCCTGACAAGAGCAAGGTCAGGCGTGCGGAGAGTTATGCGTCCTCTAAGTTGCTGTGTGGCATTTGCTGTTGGGACCCCCATCGCCCCTGCCATGAATAAAAGGATGGGCAAAGCCCAGATGGATGTGTTTAGGGCCGCCCTAGCCATGCCCACCCGTCGAGAAGGCTCACACTTCCCCCAGAGTGAGGTTATTTGGAAAGCGGAGAGGCTGCCGTTTGAAGATGTACATCATATCGCTCCTCTCCAATTTCTTGCGCGTATGCTGCGACATGCGTCCCCCGCCCTCCTCGCTCTTCTCAATTGCGTGCTCTCCCACAAGAACACCTGGGTCCAAAAACGCCAGGGCGATTTTCGGTGGATGCTGCCATATGTGAGGGAAGGGGAAATGCCAGAGGAAGGGTCCTTTCACGCGTGGATGTTGTATGCTCGCCAGCAGCAAGCGCTTCGAGCTCTTGTGGCGACTGTTGCCCAGAGGGTGATGACTGAGAGAAATGAGTGGTATGCAAAAGAGGAACATGGGCATCGTATGTGGGACAGGACTAATGGTCTTATAATTGATTATAGTTGTGGGGCCCCTCGCCCTGCTCATGCTGCTGCCCTTTTCCGCTACCCACGTTATGAGTGCAGGTTTCATAGCACGACTGCGCGAGCCCTTCGAGCCCACATGACCATTATACATCCGTGCAAGAAGGATCCTGAACAATATATTGTTGATGGTTCGTGCTGTCACGTTTGTACGACGGAGTTCCATTCCCGACCCCGTTTGATCAAACACCTAAGGAGGGTGCCCGCATGCATGCGCACTGGCTGAATCGTGACATAGCTTGTGTGCCTATCACGGAGGAGACCAAGGATCAGACCATACTGCACCACAACACAATCGATCCATGGGGCTGCATGATGATTACGCGGCCCGCCCTGCCCATAAGAGGACATTTGGTCCCCCTTGGCGCCCATGAAGGCGGGGATGACCCTCACCTCGACCCCCAGCCTTTACCTGTGGCTGTCTAAATTGCGGACCCCCCCCTCCTCCGCCCGCCTATTGGTTTCCGACCGTTTCTGTTGAACCTCTGGAGTCCCCTGTGTGGCTTGTGGTTGAGGACAAGGATGTTGCTGACCCACGTGCCGAGAGCCTTCTTCGATACCACGCTGAAGCGCACCACATGGCTCCCCTTGTTGTGCGATTGAGAAATTCGGATGATGGAGAAACCTTGCACGGGTGTCGTCGCGTGTTGCCCCCCCGAAGGAACCTGGGAGCCCCGCTGGTATACTCAAGAGAGAGGAGGTGGCCTCTTTCGTCCGATCAGATCTGTTTCCCGACCCCAGGGATTGGCGGCGCTCACTGTGAAGGAGCAGAGAGATGTGAGAGAAGCCAATAAATTGTAGAGGATGTCGAAAGCGTCGATGTACGCTGCTACTCATGCCCGCATCCCCTTCATTCTCACCCACCGTTTTATCCCTGTTCCGCTCCCCTCCCCTTGGGCCTCATTGCCAACCTAGTGGGCGAAGCGTCAGGACAGCATGACTAATATTGTAGGCCTGACGGGGCTGTGCTCCAACAGGCGGTGCTGGAAAATGGAGTCGACACTGCCCTGGTAGAATTGGGAGACTGTGAGAGGGATGGAAGCATGTGGGCAGATGCGCTTCCCTCTGTTGTTGTCGTTTCGTTTGTGTTTTGCATTGTGACCTCCTCTGTGAATATGGGTGTCTGGAGGATGGACCCGTATTGTGATGGTCACGCGCCCAATAGGGGCAAAGAGGTTGGGGCCCTAGCTGCGTCGTCGCCCCTCTCTCTGCACTGACTTGTTATACTTTAAGAGAGGCTGCTTGAACTAATCGCCTATAGCACGGGAGAGAGAGGCGGAGGAGAAGGAAAAGGACGGGTCGCCTAAGCCCTTCGGAGAAACCCTCCCCCGTCCTGCCTCCCCGCCAAGAGTCTACGGCCAGGAACTATTACTCAGCGTGTCGCGGGGCGGCCCCGGCGACACGCCGTGCCTGGCAAGCGGATGTGGCGTGCCGCTCCGCGTCGCCCCGCGGAAGACTCGGGAACGCACGGGACGCTGACGCCTCGGGCACGGGAAGTGGGTAGCGCGTCGCGCCGCATCGCCGTGGGCCGGAAACGGCGGAGCGACGCGCTTTTCCAAAAAAACCCGACCGTGAACACCGAGGGCTGCCCCGGGAAATGTCGTCCCCGCCTCTGAAGCGCCAGACAACACCTCCTGACACTGGTGCTCCCTGCCTTGAGCAGGGACCGACCGTCCCAGCATTCATATAGTCGTGCCACGACATATTCTTAGAACCCCAAAATGCTCGAATGACAATAACAGTGTTCTTAGAACATGAACCCAATGTACTAAGACAAGACAGTCCAAACTAGAACTGTTCTTCGACCGACCATTTCGTGCAAACCACAAAAGGGTCGTAGAACATTCTTGGGTGGGCCTATGTGCACGCGGGGACGCTTCGCCACTGCTTGACTGCCAGCAGTCGATCGACCGTCGGCCTTCTCCATCCTGGCCCTGGCCAGGCCCCCGCGGAAACCTGGGGCGTGCCGACTTCCACGGGCGATCGCCACGAGCTCCAGCACATCATCAAGGCAACCCTGGGAAGCATTTTTCCGCATGGGCCACCGGCTCCTGCTGGGAATCTGGTTCCCCCCCTGCCGGGAGGGAGGCGACGAGGACAAAGGGGAATCCCGTATCCCCCCGGAAGATCCGTAACAAACCTCAAGGACTGGCTGCAACACCTTCTAGCATAGTTTGAAGCCTCCTGAATGGGGTCCGAGTAGATGGGGTCGGAGGATCGCGCCGCCAACGCATCGGCGATGCATCGGCGACGTCTGCGACGCATCGGCGACGTCGGCACAGAGAAAATCCGGCTCCAAATCTAGCCGCATCGCCGATGCATCGGCGAGGCGACGCGATACTCCGACCCCATCTGCTCGGACCCCACCTGGAGGCCTCGAACAATGACCCTCCTGCTCCCCTTAGTGGGCTCCGGAAACGGCAGGGCCGTTTCCACCGTTTCCGAAAACTGTCCTTTGACAATGGAAACGGCACAAAAACGGCCACTAGAAACGGCAACAAAACTGGTTCTGGGATTGGAGCCAAAGCCGGAACTTGAAAAAAAACGGCGGAACAACAACGGTGACGGAACCGGCAACAACAACGGCGTCGGAACCTGCAAAACAGAAACGGCAAACGGGACCCATAAAAAACGGCCCTGTGGTTTTCCCAGGCCCACTAAGCCCCCCCCACCTGGCAATAGCGCACCTCCCCAACGCCAGCACTCCCAGCTCCAACGCCCTGGGACGACGCGCCCCTTGGCCGCGGCGCGGGCCCCACGGAAGACGCCCGACCCAGTCCCCCAGGACCAGTCTGCCGCCGCGGGTCGCGTGCCGACGGTTGAGCAGGGACCGACCGTCCCGGCATTCCTATAGTCGTGCCACGACATGTTCTTCGAACCCAGGCATGTTCTAAGGACAAACAAAAGCCATGCTCTTAGGACAGAAGCCCGACGAGGTAAGACAAGACAGCCCCAGCCAGAAATGTTTTAAGAGCACTTCGTGCAAACCACGGAAGGTTCTTAGAACATTGTTTGGTGGGCCTACAGGCGAGCCGGGATGCCTCGGCACTACTTGAGACAGCTCCGTGGCCTGAGAAATCAACCCACGAGGGCGGGCCCCCGGTGATTCTCAGAGGCGAAAAAACATCAAAACTCTCCACTGTTTTTCCGCTACTTGAGGGTGTATGGGTCCAAGTGTCGAAAGTGGGCCCCTGGACCTGGAGGGGCGCTTTGGCCAGAATTTCGAAGGGAAAAATTCCGCCGTGGCGACGATGAGCGCTAGGCCCTGAAATTGATGACAGACGCAGGAGCAACTCCGTACTGGAAGCTCGATGCACCCTCCTCTCAGGTCGGACGAAGGGGGGATCAGCAAGGCGAGTTCGCGGATCAGCTCATGTAGCTGATCTCCCCCGCCGCTGCCCGCGCCGCAGGCGCCAGTATACCGAGGAAGGAAAGCGCCCGGCGGTGGGGCCGAATTTAGCTGTAGGCAGTAGACTTCACAACCGTCCAATCTGAATACAGTCGGACCAAGGCAAGGAGAGCATCCTTCAAGAACATGAGACCCTCCGCTGGCCAAAGCATCCCAAACCCTAAGATCATTCGAGGGTGCCCTTCCCCAGGATGCACAAGAACATCCAACAAACACGAATAACATTTGGAAATCATCCCCGAACTGAACTCCATCTTACTCCCTCCCCCGAAGATGGCTTGGGAGTTGGCCGCCTCCGTCGGCGCAATGTCAATCTTACAAACGCAGGTCGTTTCATGATTTGGCAATTCCTGTGGTGCTGCCGCTGCAGCGCGGCCCGGATTGGCGCTTTGCCCCCATCGTTCAGAAGGGCACTCTCGCCCCAGCGTTGCCCACTTCTCTGGATTCGGGTTCTTTCCTATCCCCCGCTTTCCCCAAGTCCTCATGCTCCTGACGCTCCTTCCACTCCAGCTCTTGCCGCTGCTGTTCATCCTCGTCGTCGACGTACTCCTCCTCCTCCTCCTCCTCCTCCTCCTCCTCCTCCTCCTCCTCCTCCTCTTCCTCCTCCTCATCCTCCTCCATTTCCTCCTGTTCATTCGCCATTTTTTCCGCCTGCTCATTCGCCACCTCCTCCTCCTCCTCCTCTTCCTTCTCCTCCTCCTCCTCCTCCTCCTCCTCCTCCTCCTTCTCCTCCTCCTCCTCTAAGCAACTCCCTTTATTTTTCCTTACACATGACACGATGGGCTCATTTTTTGAACTCCAGGTCCGCCACCATTTTCGCGTCCGCAGCCAGAGCGCAAAATCAACGCCACGAGAAGGCATGGGTGGCAGTGGCAGCATGTCAAATATTAGAAAAAGGAGCAAAGGCCAGAAACATCAACTTTTGGCGCTCCGCGCAGATTTCTTGGATCTGCGCCGGACACCCCCTGGCGCGCGCAGCGCGCCAGGGGCGGCGTCGGAGGCTCCGCAGGGGGGGGGGGGGGGCAGCGCGGATCCAAGAAATCCGCGCGGATCGCCAAAAGTTTAAGTTGAAGGCGTTTTCTCTTCTTCGAGATATAGCGCAAGCGCACCGAGCCTGGAAATCCACCCTCTCCCTGCCCCCCCCCCTGCGTCCGCCCGATCCCTCCCTGGTCCCGCGTCCGCAGACAGCGGACAAAATCAACACCGTGTGCAGGTATGGGTGGGAGGGGCAGGCTGTCAGATGTGGCGCAGGCGCACCCTCTCCCTACCCCCCCTAACTGCGTCCGTGTCCGATCCCCCCCTGGGCATGCGCAGGCGCAGCGACACGACCCCACCCCCCTTTGATGGGCCGATGCTCCACCACCACTGCCATTACGCAGGAGAGGGAGGAGGAGGAGGAGGAGGAGGAGGAGGAGGAGGAGGAGGAGGAGCAGGAGGAGGGGGAGGAGGGGGAGGAGGAGGGGAAATGAAGAGGAGGAGGAGGAGGAGGAGGAGGAGGAGGAGGAGGAGGAGGAAGAAGACCTCACCATCCTCCCTCCTCCCGCGTCATACCTGTGGCAGTGGTGGAGGAAATTGCCCTATCACCCCTCCCCCCCGCGGCCCCGCCCGCATCTGCGCCCCCAGCGGCGAGACCAGCGGCGCGGGCAGGCCGGCGGCAGACGACGCCTACCGCCGAAGGTTGCCGCCGCCGTCGTCGTCGTCGTCGCCGTCGTCATCGACGTCGTCTTCGTCCTCGTCCTCGTCGTCGTCCTCGTCCACGTCCTCGTCGTCGTCGTCGTCGTCGTCGTCGTCCTCGTCCTCGTCGTCGTCGTCGTCGTTGTCGTTGTCGTCGTCCTCCTCGTCCTCGTCCTCGTCGTCGTCTTCGTCGTCGTCGTCGTCCTCGTCGTCGTCGCCGCCGCCGCCTCCGCCTCCGCCGCCGCCGCCGCCGCCTCCCCTCGCCCCGGCACGCTGCCGCGGTCTGGCTCGCCAGGCAGGAGCCCGCTGGGGGGGCCGCCCGTGCACCGAGCAGAGGTCGCCGCACGGGGCGGGTCGCTGCACCCGTACGCCCGAGATGCGCAGAGGCCTCCGACGGCGCTGTGCCCCTTCGCGCCTCGGGGCTCCAGGCATCTCTGGCGCGTCGCTCACAGTGGAGGCCAGTCCACAAGAAGCCTCCCACAACAAAAAAAACAACCCTGAGACCCCAGGACGTCAGTTGAAGTTCGGTGTGGGGACGTCGCGGTTTCCACAGCAAGACCCATCGAAACCCAAGAAACCCAGGGCACCCTGGAGGCAAGCAGGGCGTTTCTTGGCATGGGTCTCCACTGTTAAAAGGGGGGCGATGCAAGGGGGGGCAGGAAGAGAATGGTGCCCACATCGGGCCCGGAAAGAGCCCCCCTCTGGGCCCTCAAGGGCTCCTTTAGGGGCCCTACCGGGCTCCTGTTTCGGCTGCGCGTACGAGTGACCCTGGGCAAGAGTGACCTTTGGTGCGCGGCTTCTGGGGGGCGCGAGGAGGCCAACCACAAACGCGCAAGACGCTACGATCGCACCGCACCAAAGGTCACTCCGGCGACGGGTCACTCTTACGCGTAGCCGAATTTTCTGCAGCCCTCGCTGCCCCCCCCTTGTCCCCCCCCCCCCCATGACGCGACGCCCATCTCTCGGCCCATTCCCCGAGACCAGCTTTTCCTCGCGTGCCGTTTTTCGACCTTCCCAAGAGCACAGGAAGCGGCCACTGAGAGGCATGCAGAGTGTCCAAAGCCTTCCTGTCGAGCTTCTGTTTCGCGATTTGCGACGCGAGAAGGAGGAGGAGAAGGAGGAGGAGGAGGAGGAGGAGGAGGAGGAGGAGGAGGAGGAGGAGGAGGATGGGGGGGGGATCTGGGCGGCTCCAGCCTCGGGGCGTGCCCCTGCCGCCCCCCCCCCCTCCTGGAATCCCGCTCCTCGATCCTCATGCTCGGGGGAGCAGTGATCAGCAAGAAGTGGGCCCCGGACCCTTTGGGCGCGGACCTACGTTAGGATGTCCAAGCTCTCAGGGCGAGCCCCCTGCCGAACCTCCCCCCATCCTGGAACCCCGATCCTCGATTCGCTTTTTCTGGGGCACAATCATCAGCAATACATGGGCCCCTAGCCCCTTGGGCGCGGGCCTCAGTCGGGAGGTCCAGAACTCTTAGGACTGGGGAGGGGCATGTTCTGCAGAGGTGCCCCACCAGACCACCCAGAGACGGAGCATCCTTGACGAAAAAAAAGCACTGGAGCCTGAGTGAAGCCACGCCTTCGACTGTGTACGGGGGTTGGGGGTTCTGTTCTTTTGTTCTCGATGCACTGAAAATCGGTCCTGGGGCCTTGGGGAGACTAAAAGATACCGATACCGCTACTCCCCGGACCTCTCCCGGGGTGCGTTATGACCAGAATTTCGAAGCGAATCCAGCGGTGGCGACGAGGGCAGCCCAGGAGACCGAAAAAGGGGAAACCGAGGCAAGGGTAGAAATGTGGGTACCTTTTCCTCCTCTGATGAAAATCGGTCCCGGGGCCTGTCCAGAGGCGCGCTCGGCCAGCACTTTCGGGGCGGCGCCCTTCGACCCTGTTCTAAGAACAACAACAATAGTCTTAGAACATACCCCAGATGTGTCAAATCAAGACAGCCCCAGCCAAAAATGCTCTGAGCACATGTCGTGCAAAAAATTGGTGGGCCTATAGACAAGCCAAGTCCAGAGGTGAACTCGGCAAGCAGACTCGGTCGTCGCAGTCGTGGTCGTGGTCGTGGTCGTCGTCGCCGTCGTGGTCGCCGTCGTGGTCGTCGTCGCCGTCGTGGTCGTCATCGTCGTCGTCGTGGTCGTCGTCGTCGTCGTCGTCGTGGTCGTCGAAGTTGTCGTCGTCGTCGTCGTGGTCGTCGTCGCCGTCGTGGTCGTGGTCGTCGTCGTCGTCGTCGTTGTCGTCCTCGTCGTCCTCGTCCTCGTTTTCGTCGTCGTCGTCATGGTCGCCATTGTCGTCGTCGTCGTCGGCCCCTCGGGGGCGTCAGAGGGAGGAGTTACACTAGGACGTAAAACAAGAGAACATGTTTAAAGAACATGGGACCTCCGGCCGGCCAGAACACATAGAACATCCAAGGGCGCCCTCCCAAGGATGCACAAACAGTATCCAATAAGCACGAAGAGCACTTGGGCACTCTCCCCGGAAAGACCTCGATCTTACGCCTCGGTCCGACCGTCGCTAAATCATGGCCCGAGGCACGTGCGCAGACGAGTGGGGGGCCAGGACGGCCATAGTTATTCCCACCCCCCTCGCCCCCCTGGTCGTCTTCCCCCCCCCCCCTTGACACCCCCGAAAGACAGGCCCCCAGAGGTCGAGGCGGTGGAACACGAGCGCGGGGACTGCCAAACACCGATCCCCCCCGATGTCTGGGGACCTCCTCCCAGAGCCCCGAATCATCGAGGCTGGGGGAGGTCAAGGATAACTACAGATTCGCGCCTCGGGGGACCAAACCAGAGCTACCCCAGACCGCAGTTATCCCGGCCAACTCGGGCGTCCGATCCTCGCGCGAGCCGAACCACTGCGCCCTCTGAGCGTGCCCTCCTCCCCCTCCCTGGCAGGCGAGCCCAGAACCGAATTGATCAATCTGATTGGCGATCGACATGACCCGGATCGGCGGAAATCGGCGGCCGAGTCGGGAGAAGCCGAATCGGCGGAAATCGGCAGGGTGGCGGGCCCCCAGTGAGAAATCGGAACCCAGATCGGAATCCGAAATCGAATCGAATGGGAATCGGGCGCCATCGAAGTCGAATCGAATCGAACCGGAAGAATCGATAACAACCCTGCCCTGCCTCCGCGGCCGCCGCCCCTCCTCCCTCCCTGCCGGTGTCCCTCCGTGCACAGCTCGCGCTTCCGCGAGCCAGCGCCCCTCCGACCGCGGATCCGACAAACACAGAGCACCGCCGACCAAAGAGGAGGATCGGGGGAGGAACACGGTGAGGAAGATGGGGAGGAGGAGGACCAAAGGATTGGGAGCGGGACTTCTCCTCCTCCTACTATTTCCCTCCTCCTCCACCTCCTCCTCCTCCTCCGCCGCCGCCGCCGACCAAGCGAAACGTCTGTAGATCTCCGATTCCCCTCCTCCGCCTCCCCTCGTGCCCCCCCCCGCCCCGCCAGCAATTGCCGAGCAAAGAGGAAGATGGGAGAAGGATCGGAGGAGGTGAAGACGGGGAGGGATAGGGGAAGAAGGAGGACTGGAGGAGGACGTGGAGGGCGGAGGACTCCTCCTCCGATCCTCCTCCGCCCCCCCCCCCCCGCCCGCCGACCAAACAAGACCGTCGTCTAGGGACATCCGACTACCCCCTGATGAGGATGCTGTTGCTGATGCTGCTGCTACTGCTGCTAATGACGATGACGATGCCGATGACAATAATGACCGTAACAATGGTAATAACGACGACGATGCTGATGAGAATCATCATCACCATCATCATCATCATCATCATCAGCATCAGCATCAGCATCAGCATCAGCATCAGCATCATCATCATAATCATCATATCAACCACCACTGCCACCACCATCATGATCATCAGCAGCATCATCAGTATCGTCATCATCATCGCCATTCGCACCATCATCAACAACCTCAGCATCGTCATCAACAGCATCACTACTATCATCATGACCGTCGTCATCATCATAGGCGTATGGAATCGTTATCATCAGCATCAACATCATCGTCGTCGTCACCATCATCATCAGCATCATCATGATCAGCCGCATCAGCGTCATCAGCATCATCATCATCAGAAGTGTCACCACCATACCCAGCACCATCACCATCATCAGGCTCATCACCAGGATCATCACCATGAAACATCACCATCACCACCACCACCACCATCATTATCACAATCAACATCCCCACCATACTCACCATCACTACCACTATCACCATCACCATCACCATCAGAATGACCATCATAATCACCATCATCATCGTCACCACCACCACCGTCACCATCACCATCACCCACCATCATCACGATTACCACCACCACCACAACCATCATCGCCATCATCATCATCATCATCATCAGCATCATCATCATCATCATCTTCTTCCTCCTCCTCCTCGTCGTCATCGCCCCCGTGGCCTCACCACCCCCCGCGCGCGCGCCTCCGGCCCTTCGCGTGCGGCCATCCGCGGCGTGGCCTCTGGGCCGCCGCCCCCGTAGGCGTAGAGCGGCAGCGAGAGGCCCTGTAGAGGGGGCTGCTGCCTCCCTCCCTCCATCCATCCTACCTCCCCCCCTCCCTCCTTCCTGCCTCCCTCCATCCCGCCCTCCCTCCTCCCTCCCTCCTCCCTCCCTCCTGCCTCCCTCCTGCCTCCCTCCTGCCTCCCCGCACTCACTCCTTTCCTGCCTCCCTCCATCCCGCTGATGTGCGCGTTGTAACAGCAAACCTTCGGAACAGCTTTTTGCTGTTACGAGCCTTTTTGTCTTCGTTTTGTGTGAGCTCCTGTCGGAGCAGCTCTTATCCATAGCAGCCACGTCGGGCCCATGGCGTCTCCCCGCAGGCAGAACGGGCAGGCTTGGGTGTGCAAGACGTGCGTCAACCCGAGAGATGGCAAGCAGTGGTTCAACACTGCGGACGCGTTCACGTGCAAGCTGTGCAAACTTCATAAGGGCATCTGCTACGGGGGGCCCCAAGAAGCCAGCAGCAGGTGAGCCGCCGTCCACTTCCAAGCAGAAAAACCTGGCCAAGCAGGTGGCGGAGCTTCAAACTGAGCTACGCAGAATGCGTCAGCCTGCTCCTGCTGGTGATGACGACCCCGGCTCAACCGCTGGCGATGCTCGAGGAGTGGACGGCAAGCGCAAGCGCATCAAGGAATTGGAGGGCATCATGCGTGTGTTGTCAGCACAGCGCGACGCAGAGGTGCTCGCCACTTTCAAAGCAGAGAAGGAGGGCCTGGAGCGAGAGTTGCTGAACGATCGTCCGATCAAGGATCAAGCTCGTTCGCTGGCGTCCAAACTTCAGCAGGCCCGCGCGCACGAGTCCAGCATGCGCAAGGCGGAGGAGGAGCAATGTGCCCTGATTCGGCAGCTGCAGGACCACCTTGTACTCACGGAGGAGAAGCTGGGCGCAGCTACTTCGGAGGTGGTCAGGCTGGAAGAGGAGACTCGCATGGCGATGTCGCAGTTGCGCCCGCCAGACGCGTCCAAGCCGCCCTTCCTCCGCGATGTGCTTCCTGGTTTCGCGGTCTCTGTCTAGCAGCTGGGTCGGGTGGCTAGCTCTTTGGGCGTGGGTGCTGATCTCACTGCTGGGCTTTAAGCCATGGCAGGACGGTCAAAAAGCTCCAAGCAGCACCACAGGCACAGCCTCCACCATCTCCTCAGCAGCAGGCGCCACAGGACGGAATGCCACAGGGAGCCGCCGCCGACGAGCCTCCTGACCCGGACATGGGGGAGGCAGACATGCGCGCGGCCCTGGAAGCTGCGGGGATTCAGGTGGATGCCGCAGAGTCGGAGGAAGCTGTCAAAGAACGGTTCAAGCGCGTTCAGACATCCTACGTCGAGGCTTGCAAGAGGGCCCATACTGCTAGGTAAGATGTTTCTTATCATTGGCTGTCGTTTTGGTCTGTCAGTACCCATGACTTCCATTCAACATGAGCCCCTTGGAAGCAGGGTTGCAGCTTCCGTGTCAACGAGGGCGGCTACAGCATCAGTGGCAAGTGTGTCTTGAGGGGATGATCCTATTGGCACGCGCTGGCTACCCTCAGCACCGCTCACTCGGCTGGCCTAGCAGAGCTCTGAGGCAGAACCCCGTGCAATGTGCACGTCACAAAGTGCGGCCTCTGCATCTCGGATGGGCGGGGGTGGTGCTATTTACAAAATCCTGGCGCGAATGCGCCCAGGTTCAGCGTTGCGGTTTTGCCCGGGGCCTCGAGATCGACGTCAGTTTCAGGTGGAGCAGTTTCGCCACTTTCTCCATCGGCACCCGTGGGTGGACATGCAGATCTTGGGCGTGGTCGCGTGAGCGCCAGTTCTGATATACCTCAGACGGGGGTCGTGGGCAAACCTTCTCCTCCTGCCATTGCAGGCACCATCGTGACGGTCAATGTCACTTCGTTCGGCCCCGTGTTCGACTACCTGGCGGTGGTGAAGGCCAAGGTCGTTTGCGCGCAGGAGACGCGGGTCGTGGATGCCCGCCTTGGCGAATTTCAGCATCGTGCCATGGACGTCGGCAACCGTGGGATGTGGGCCCCCGCGCTTGCCGCGGGCGCTACGGTGCCACAAGCGAATCACTGTGGAGTCGCCGTTCTGGTTCCCACCTACGTTATGATCACGAAGCCGCCTGATGGAGACCCCATTGTCTATCCAGGCCGAGTGGTCGCCAGCTTCGTCAACTGGGGAGTGCCAGGTGGGGTGGTAGTGGTCAGCGCGCACCTGGTGACGAGCATCGGCATCGCGGGCGAAAGCCCCTTCTAATCTGTGGGCCATCGCTCAGCGATGTTCCTGCTTGGAATGCCCCGGGCCATGATTGGATACTGGCGGGAGACTGGAATTCCGACATCTCTGCGCCCAATGACAGGAAATAGATCGAGCCGCGTGCGGGGCTATCGCGCACTCCCCGGTCGGCCCCGTGCTTCACCGACGAAGGTAACTCGAAAATAGACTACTTCATCCCTTGCGCGAACTTGTCGGCGAGGCTTGAAAGGGCGGAGGTACTTGAGACTTGCGGCACCATTCCTCCACCTCATTACCCTGTCAGCATCAATCGACTTGGGAGGGACAGGCCAGCATGGTGCCTTGATCCAGGTGAACCTCGGGCGCTACCAGCGGTGCCCCCCTGTGGCTGTGCTCGTCTCCCCTACCCATGGGCACAGGTCGACCGTGTGTTTGACGACGTTCAAAGTGTGCCAGACCTGGCTCGAGTGCGGGGCACGGTGCTTGACGGGGTGGACGTGGAGTTGTCGGGCCGCTACGACAAAGTTGTCAAGGGCGCTATCCTGTTCGTGGGGAGGTCAGGGGCTCCTGAGTTCAGATGGAAGCTGCTGGCATGGGAACCCCCGGGGCGACGCAAGCACCGGGGGCCCGAGGTCTGTGCTTGGGCCACGGCATGCAGATGGTCGCAGCACCTCAGGTCGGAACGTGATCGACTTGGACGTTTCTGTCAGCGAATGCAGCCGGCGCCTGTTATTTGCCAGCTGGCACCGTCGCAGTATAGCGTTGCAGGCCTTCTATGAGGCGGAGAGGTACTGTCGCAGGATCATCGCGGACAACGACGACACCTAGGAGTTTCTGAGGAGGGGGCTCAGCATAATGGCGGACGCGGATTTCCACTCAGGCTTGGACAACATTATCGCCACGGCCCGCTTAGCGCTGAAGTCATCCAGGTCCGAGTCCGAGCAGTCCTGGCGGAGATGGGCGAAGAGGGCATTCCTGGGGGGCCCCAGTCAGGCGCACTCGGCCTCCAAGGTGAGGAGCAGACAGGAGCAGATAAATTTCGAGGTGGGCGCCCCGCGGTACCTGCTGGCCAATCACACCTTGGGCTGGTGGAAGCAGGTGTGGCGGCGTCACGAGTTGCAGCCTGCTGTTTTGCCTGCTGGCCATGAGTGATGGCCTGATCTGCCCGTGCTAGAGCACCGCCAGGTACCGGGGGGCGATTCGTACTTTTTCTACGCGCACGGCGTCGGGGCCGAGCCGCATCTCACCCAGGTGCCTGGATTCTCTTTCGGACCAGGCGCTGGAGCGCATCGCTAGGATGTTCATGCGTTTTGAGGAGTGGCTGTCCTGGCCACCTGAGCGGGCATATAGTCAGATAGTGCGGCTTCCCAAGCCTGATGGAGATACTCGGCTTATCGTGTTGCCCCATTCGATGATCAGACTTCGGGGCAAACTCAGGGGGCCAGTCTCGGCTGAGCGACAGGCCAGCTACCAGCGCGACCAGATGCGGGGCACAAGAGCAGGCCACGCGTCCAGCGACTCAGCTTTCGATCGTAACATTCAGCAGTAGGCGGCGCAGCTGCTCGGAGAACACACGTGTACCACTCTACTGGACATGAGCAAATGATATGACATGGTGGACCCTCATGCATTGCTCCGTGAGGGACAAGCGTTGGGCTTTCCTATGCGACTGCTGTGGCTACTCATCCAGAGCTACCAACAGCCCCGAAGGAGAAAAGCATATGTGAGTGTCTCCAAGGCGTATCGTTCGATTCAAGGGATCCTGGCTGGGTGTGCACATGCTATGTACATGCTGTGGTTGCGTGCGTGTAGGTCTGTCCAGAGGGTCTCCAAAGTGTCTCCGACCATAACCCCGAGAACGCTCATGGGCGATATAGGGCTCCAGAGTATCGCCGTGGACCCCAAGGATGCCAGGTTTCTCGCTCTTGCGGCTAGGAGTTTCATCAAGGACTCGCAGGGGCTCGACATGATCCTGAAGGCGTCCAAATCTGGGGCTGTTGCTGGTGTTCGGAAGTTCTGGAAAGGCGTGCAGTTCCACGCGGGCTCCATGAAGATCACGTATCAAGGGCACATGAGGAACCCAGGTCACGAGCTTATAGGGCCCAGGATCATCAGAAGCATGGAGCGGCAACGCATGAAGCGCCTGCGCGAGCGCCAAGCTCGCTTCTCCATGCTCAAAGCGGTAGTTGACAAGGTATCTACCGCACTGTGGCGCACGGGCGTCCTGCCCTCAGTGGCGCATGGTGCTGCAGTCGCAGGTGTCAGCGATGTCGCACTTCGACAGCTGTTTCTTTTTGCTGATGTCGTGAATGGCGCGCCAGGCAGGTCAACCACTGGTGTTGCAGCCGATCAGATCAGCCACAAGAAAGGGCTCTATGACCCCATCTGTCACGCCAATCTCGCGATCGTTCCTAAGTTTTGCCGAGTGGGCCTGGGATGGGCGCATATCCGATAATAGGTCGAATCGGGCTTGGGCGGTTCTCAGAGACAACATTTGCAATCTGTCTTGGGCTACCACGCGAGGCCCGATGGGGGGCCTGCTGGATGACGCTACGACGTATTGGATGTAATCTGGTGGCTAGTCATATGATGGCTGATGACTTAGGTCATGCGCTTGATCTTCGTGTCCTGTGCCCTGCCGATCTGAAGGTGCCCTCATCCAAAAGATTCTGGCAGGACGAGCGATTGCCCCGGCATTTTTACACCGCGAACACCGCGGACCAGGTCTGGCACCGCGGCTTAAGGAATTCTCGGGCTCGTATTAAATGCGTTCGCAGACTATGGGGCCCTTCAA